GACTCGCGGTCCCGGCTGCTCGAGGAGGTGTACACAGACAAGGACCGCGCGGCCGCCGTGAACCTGGGCACGCGCGACATCAAGGCCTCGTTGCGCATGAAGCGCCGGCAGGACCGGAGCCGCACGCTGCACATACCGTCCACGGCCGAGTCGCCCACACTGCTGGCCCTGGCCCGGCACTGCGTCAACGACGTCCGCGTGTCGCTCGAGTTCATCGATAAGGTTAGGAGCCGGTGCGCGTGATACGGCTGAGCACGCCCGTCGGTTGATTTTCGCCCGGAGCGAGCCGCAAGCGGTCCGTCCCGTTCGTTGCCGGAACGGAGTGTACTTCGTCACGGCGGAACAACGTTCATAGTTGAATACAAACGTCGAAAGATCTTGAGCTCGGACTTAGTTTTTTCTAACGGTTAAATAACTCCCCCCCCCCCCCCATAGCAGTTATGCATGTAGGCCGAAGCCCTCCTCTCCTTAGACACATTAGATGGAACTGTATCGGATATAGGTACTTAAAGTATTTAAAAAATCGGTTGTCAGAAAAACTTCGTACAAATCGACATGCGCAACGAATGCAACTCACTTTATTAGTCCCCCACTTTTTTCATTTCTAGATCCGCGCTTGTATGCACACATAGTGAAAGTTTCATTTCGTGTTGATTCATTTTTTCGAGGACAACGAAAAAAAAAATATCGTTTTCCCGGATAACCAGCGTACTTAATGCGGTCCATGGTTTCGTCCGTTTTCACAATCGGTTAACGCGCTTCGACTGCTATTTAAAGAGTAATCGATGCGTTGCCTGTGCTGGCGTGCACCGCGGACCGCGGACTTATACGGGCGCGGGAATCGAACCGGAGAACGAACCGATCGAACGACATTACGTGACGGATGTTATTGCAACGCGATTGTTTACGATTGACGCGTTCGATATTTTGGCTTGTTTTCGGTGTGGAACACGCGGAATACAGATACACAAGCAACTGGTCTTTCGCTAACCCGTGTCTCGATGCGCGTGCTGGTGGCCGGTGTGGTTCGTGCAAAGGATAAATACAAAAACTGAAAAATAATAAATCGTACAAACGGTATTCGGAAAGCGGGAACCAATCGCGCCAGAACACGCTGCCACGTTGACGGCGTTTCACTCCCATCGACGGTGACGTAGGGGTAATCCATCAAACACACGTGACCTAGTGAATATTTTTTCGTTCAAACGTTACAATTCGGTTCGCTCTTTTTTCCGAGGTTTATTTGTAGGTCACTTCGAACTTTTTAGTATTTAAATATGCTTTGCATTTAATATGGTAAAATACTGCGTTGACGGTAAAAATTGATTAACGGTTTCGTTGGAACCGTAGTGCTGTGCAGAGTGTATGACAACTCAGAGTGCATCATATGCATCCGATTAGGCGCCCGTCACTTTCGCGTGTTGACAGCTCGATGACACGCTCCGCAGCACTCGACGATTATATGTGTTTATTTTTACAGGCGTTAGAGTTGAGCCCCAACGACAAAACGGCTTTGGTGTCCAGAAGCAAATGCTATCTCCTACTCGGACAACCGCGTTTGGCCTTGCAAGACGCTGAAGTAGCGTTGAACGAGGACAGCACGTACCTAAAAGGTAACGTAAATTCATTTTCGTGTACAATACAAAATTTTTGTTGTCGGTTACGATTTCTAATGTTCGATTCTCACTGAAGGCGGGTGACATTATTTCCTAGAGTTTGACTGCTAGCCGTGATCAAACCGGTCGAGAAAAATTATAAAATATAAATATAAAATTATAATTCGCCGGACTGGGCAGGCGGGATACCGGGAGTTTTCCGGTGTACCACTTGATTGAACGGGGCCGCTTGTACTCGTTAAGAAGTTTTTTTTTTTTTATTTTAGGTTTATCGGTTTAGGCTCATTGTATTGACAGACATAGACACATTTTCTAATTCGATTGCATTGGAAATAGTCTAAAATTAAACAAACGGTGTTTTCATTTTTAATAATAATATTTAGTGTTCAAATTATCAAAATAATATACAATCATTTTATACGAAAATACACGTTTTTTTTTTTTTTTAGAGCTGTTTTTATACCTTTGATATATCTCATTGGGCCTTTCTTTATTTTTCCCCTAGTAGAAATTTTCGACCCAGTCCGGCCCTGTAATTCGCCGTGAAAGAAAATGTTTGATTAAAAATGTTTATTTTTTTATTGCTAATAATATTGTGCCTTTAAATAGTAGCAAAAATTATAATTTTCAAATTATTTTTATTATTTGAAATATGTTTTTGCGTAATACACTAATGGAAGTATAGTTATTAATGTATTTCATTGGACAGTGTACAGCATGAATAAATTTACCTGATCCTTGTCTGTGAAAATTAGTAAGCAGATCGATACACTACGCCGACGGGTATCACAATTCTCCGCAGATATTGCTTGCGATGTGTGTCTATTATTTTACCACAACTATAGGTCCTATTTTTTTTATTTTCACAGCCATTTATCAGAAAGCAGAAGCGTTGTACCATCTCGGCGATTTCGAACACAGTCTTGTGTTTTACCACAGGGGACTTCACGTCCGACCTGAGCTAGAACAATTCCGGTTGGGCGTGCAAAAAGCAAGAGAAGCCATCGAAAATGCTATTGGTAAGTTCAAAAGCTTTCGCCCGTGCAATATACACCATGTTTGCTTAAAAAATGACGCACAAAACGTTCGTTATGTTAACTTTTATAATTAGTTAACATCTCTGTATATTGTTGGTCTTCGACGCTTCGAAGACTTTTTCGTGCTGATAATAATTTCGAAAATTCACTGGAAATCATCAAAGTAGTTAGGGAAATTAATTTGGTTAGTTTTTATGATTGATGTTTTTACCAATTTTTTTTTTTTTTTTATTTAATAGATAATTTTCCATCAAAATATAGTGATAAATATTCAATTCTCCATATCTATAATTATATTGACAATGGAATATTCATTGTATTTGTTTAAGACACAATAGTGCAATCCCATGGTATATATATGTAGTGTATAATAGTAATAAAGCTAATAAAATATAACAGTGTACCATAATTAATTTTATAAATATCATTATTTAATTTTCAAACCTCCGAACAGCAGTTGAACACGACTTATTAATAAAAACTCATATCTTAACCAGCGTGTATTTGAGCATGAGATAATGTTTATAATTACACAAAAAAAACTATATAGAACTAAAACGAATTTTATTCTTTACGGCTATCACTGGGGTCAGACCAACAACGTGCCAGGTACTCTCTTGTAAAATTACTGAACCACAAATCAGTTATTAACTATCAAAGTTATTATGTTTCGTGTTTTTTTTTTTTTTTATTTCTTTTTAAAATGTCACGTTTTTATTTAATTGTTTTAAATTGTTTTAAAAAAGTTTTAAAAACGAGTAATTTCCGATCTGTGATTAACTGAGAGTGGCTCATAAAGCACCGAAGCACAAGAAATGTGTTTACTAGCGACGCCCGATAAAATCAATGTCATTAATATTGTACAATGTACAATTGCCTAAGTTCTAGATGTATAATACATGCTCTGTAGTTTTAACAATAACTCTAAATTATTTAAAAATGAGTTTAAAACATTTAAATAAAACACATGTATTAATGATATAAGTTTTAAACATTTTAAACAATGTCGAAGACGTTTCAAATAAATTGTTTAAAACTGTTTAACATTTTTGATCAAAACACTTTCTTTTAGAAATAACATCTCTGTTAACTATAAGTTCAAATATCTTAGACTCAGTACTAGTTAAGCACAATGTTAAAAAAATAGTCTCCACTAGTGTCCAGCTATATATGTGGAACGCACAATTATCAAATGTGCATATATGTGTATATAAATGTATATAGCTGAATGCATATATGTATGCCTATTATATAAATGGTCCCAGCTCCTAGTTCTTTTTATTTTCTAGAGGAATTAAAAAACAATTATTAACGTTGTAAATCGTATTCTACGACAAAAAAATAATATCATGCATTAATTGCATTTACGTGTAAAATATATACGTTCACGCATCATTAACTGCATGTAAATAAATATTTGATGCATTTTTATAGACGATTTGTTGAGATATTATAGCCGCGGTTATTATAATGAGTTAATTTTAAGAATATTGAACTAATTATCTACCTAAGCTGAATGTTTATTTACACCAAGCGGTCTATTATATATACTACTCAAGTTTCTTGATGACCGAAATTTATTTTTCAAATACTGCAACAACAACAAATATTTATTGTATAACTAACTTAATAGGTAATTTGTTTGCACAAAGATGTTGTGATTTAAATATTAAAATTGATTATTAACAAATGCGTGTGTCCAAAATAAAATTAGTTTATCTTACAGTTATTTCCATGTTGAGTTTACGATAATCGTTTTATTTCAAAAACGAACGATGTGTCAATAAATCATATTTTTACAAAACGTAACGATTATGTCAGATAACGGCGTTATGAATAAGCAATTGTGATTCATGCATGCATACTAACGTTTAAATCGTAAAACATGACATAAATACTGCAGTATTTATAAATACAACAATTTATAATAAATTTGTGTATAATCTATTCCATCTATCATTCTTGTAACTAGTGTTTCAACGACGTAACACAATGAAACATGTATTTTTTTTTTTTTTTATAAGATTTTCGATCTTAAATATTGTTTTATCAAAAATAATAAATAGTCGAGAACGTAGTGCGCTATTTTGACCATTGCATTTTATCGGTTCAATGTCGAAGGAAAAATTAATCGAAATGCAAATAATCGCTACCAAATATTATAAAATAGTATTTAAACATAGGAGAAAAATCACTAAGAATTTCTATAACCACGTATTATTAATAAATACGTACAGAGATATTGCGTAGAACAATGTTTTAAACGATTCAATTTTTCCAACTAAACTTAAAGTGATAAATCAAGGAATAAACGACCCACAAGTAATAATTTGTTACTTTTAGTGGGTAATGAATACCGAGAAAATGTTAAGATTCGAGGTACGAGGTTTACATTTGTCCTAAACTTCATGTTTCGATTCGATTCGTAAGCCGCGCGTTATTCCATATACAATCCTTGTGCAGTCATATAATCGACATGACATCGTTGCGCAGGAAAGATGAAGGAGATAGCGATCGCCTTGCAACAGGATGACGGGATCGACAAAAGTCAAACGACCTCGGCCGGAGGAAAGGTCTCCGGCAGCAGAAGGTCGCTGCTGGCTGTGACGGGATCGTCGTCACACCACAAAGACGCCAAATCGTCAGTGGCCACCAAGAACCAGTCGAAAATGCTGCTCAGGGAGTTGTGCGTGGACAAGGATTATCTGGAACACTTGACGATAGATCCGAGTAATATTGTCGATTTATAAATATCCATATATACATTTACATGATATTACAATAGTCATATATTACTATTTTAGATGTAATATAACTTCCGAGATTATAACACATCTCTGATTTGTGATTTATTTTTATGCAGACATCGTAAGCGCCATTCAAGAAAACGACAACTACATACTGTCCGAAGCAAAAGATGGCATAAACTTTCTGAACGGTCGAGAAGAGTTCTGGAAACAACAAAAACTCATCGTATAATAGTTCACTTCCCAACCCCAATTGTTATACTTTTGTTTTATTTTATTTTTGAGATATTTAGTACAACTACATGTTGCTATAACTTTGTGAAATCAACTGGGTGGTGGAAAATATTGAGGAAACTTTGAATACTTTTGTTACGCTGTAACATATTTCGCGATGCATTAACTTCTTTTAAAATGTAACAACATTTCAAACGACCGTCAAGAAAAAGCGTAAACATTCGTAACCATAGAATTTGAATGAAAAGTCTTATATGCCTAAATATCATATCTATAGTCTATATCTATGTCACAGATGTAAAAAAAAATTATCAAAAATTAAATATTTTCCATTTCGAAATAGTAGTTATGTTCAGACGTTCTGTGTTTAACCACAATTATTTTTAAAATAGATTATTAAATTTTCTGGGATTGTTTGAAACATTTTTCATGATAATCATGTAATCTTTACCAATTTTCCATGATGCATGTGTAATATTTATTGATTTATTTTTTTATAACTATAATAAAAGCAATATTTTCAACGACCAATCGTGCTCATGGATTTAATTCACACGTTCTTTCTAATTTCTGCCACATACACATTGTAATTCTATACAATATTATAATCAAACAATTCATATGATAATATCATAAATTATTTTGCGTCATAACTCTAGTATTATGTGCAATTTATGTTTCATTTCAAATAAATTGATTCTAGGAATAATAGAATTCAATTTATCTATCAACAATTATTTTTTTGTGCATTTTATGATAGTTATTCGTGCATCGTACCTCAAAAGAATTCTTTTTTAACTTTTTGTTTTGAACAATTCAAATTTAAAATGATTACTAAGAGTTTGGTTCTTAAGTTCGGTATAAAGTACTTACTGGTAATTGCTTACTAATTACTTTTGTCTTTTGCGTAAACAAAAGTTCGTAAAAGTTTAAAGTGGTGTATACCTCACGCGATGCTAACAATTCGTATTTAAAGTTAATGATGTTCTTAATTTTTAGCCGTTATGCAATACATGTATAGGTGATGTCCTACGTTTTGATTTATACCAATATAAGGTAATATCGCTGAGTTAATAATAATAATAGTAATAAAAATAATAGTTAATAACTACGAATAGTAATACGAACAGTGTATCTATAGAGTTTTATTTCTTAAAAATAAAAAATAAATAAAAAAATGAAATTATTCTTAATTCGTACATAGTTATACATAGTTATTACATATACATAAGTAACACAGAATGATCAACTGTATTGTTATTTGGTATAAACATTTTAATTTCAACATTTCAACATTAGTAGAATTTACGTACACGATTTTATTGAATTTCTCGTGGTTTGCGTAATTCAGGAGATATAAAAAAATAAAGATGATAAATATTTAATATAAATATAGTATAGTTTGTTTTTTATAAAAATTGTTATTGGGCTGAAAGAAATACGTAACAATACACCATCAATAAGTATAACGATAGGCAATAGCAATATTATACAATAATATTATTTAAACATACTATCGCATAACAAAGTGTAACTTGAAGGTCTTGAACGTTTTACAATGTAAAAATGTCGTACATCTCCGTGTCACGCATCAAATATAATGATTTTTAATTATCTTATGCGCGTTATTTATGGTGGAATACTAATAAAATGGTATGAATTATCTTTGTTATAATTATTTGAATAGTCATATAAATATTATTATAGTTTTTCTTACTCATCATGGTAAATTACTGATGATTCGATGTAAATATTACTACTTTTCGTGTAGTGAGAGTTCCTGTTTAACTAATTTAATAACTGTTGTTAGTGCCTCACGAATTAATGCTTAAAGATTATTAATTTATCACTTATGTGTTCATTTTCACAGATCCGTCATGATTATTTGCGATCGTTTTTAAAAACGCATACATGTAATATTCATTAAATAATTTTCGAATCGTTCATAAATAACTACAAGGTTTTTTCTTGAATCCATATGTGCTTGGGAATTATTTACATTTATTTATTAAGTCTGCACTCAGCGTTTACATAATTAGTTGATTTTATGGCTTATTGAATTATGCGAATTAGTTTAAAAAAAATTATTGAAAATAAAGTATGTATTGAAAAGTTTCGATTTATTTGTAATTGCATATGATAATATATTATTATTTAAAATATGTGTAAGAAAATTTCGAAAAAGTAGAATAAATCACGGTAGTGCTTAGCAGAAAAGTGAATAATAAACGTATTATTTAAATTATTTTTTAAAAATTTAAAATACTCACATTGTATAATTACTATATGTTTATACTAAAAAGTATTTTTTTAAGGATAAATCATATATAGAAAAATGTTAAGTACAATTATTGTACACATAAATATAGCATAAATCTGTTGTGCTAATTGCTCTTTGTTTTTTTTTTTTGCATTAAACGTTTTACTGTTTATTTGAAGTGACATATAGTAATATTTATAATAAATTGTTTTCTGTCAATTAGTTTATTAACAATGTTATCAAATTAATATTTTATTGAATGTTTAATATTCTTATGTAAGCAGTAAAAGTTGAAACCATGATATTATATCAAATAAAAGCTTATAAGCATTATTGTATAGAATATTTTTTTTTCATTTTTAATGCTACCAAATTTATATCTAGAGTATAGTTTACAACTAGTGAATGCTAAAATTATTCATCCCAAGAAAATCCGCGAGACACAAAGCTCCCCCGAAACCCCCTACATTTATCTGACATAAAACGTTTTGGTTTTACCATTTTAACAATTGTCTATGTTACTATTTATTCTATTAGTGTCATTATTCCTTATCGATAAGCGATCAAACCGCTAGACGGTAAACATGAAAAAAAATTATAAACAGTATTCCACCGGAAAACGGTGAAAAAATAAACTCAACCACAAGCTTTATGAATTGGTAACCTGACAAACCCAATTACCCAATACTCCTACTGCGTACCTACATGTATAACGTACGTCCGTGGCATTAGTGCATTACCGAAGTAAACCGGAATAAAAACATTCTCTACTGAACGCAAAATAATTCTCTTTAAACAACATTTTTACCTTGAAACCAACTGGGAATCCTAACTTATAACCTGGAGGTGCTAAGTACCCCCTGGAACCTCCATATATACGCAGGGCCGTAGCAAAGGAGGGCTATAGGTGCTTATGCCCTGGGCGCAAAACTTAAATATTTGCAATTTAATTGTTATTTATAAATTATAAATTATAAGTTATTAATTATAGATAAAAGTAATATTATATATTTATGTATTTACTTATATAACTTATAAATATAATTATGTTATACCTATTTACCTACTTATAATTATAATGTATATTTATATTTTAATAAGTTATTGATTTAAATAAAATTAACAGGCGCTTACATAATCATAAAGAAAAATCATTATTTGTATTGCGTTTATAAAAAATATTCAGTTTATTTTTGTAAATTAAAATACTTAAGGACGCATTTTGAAATTTCACCCCGGGCGCAATATTTGGTTGTTACGGCCCTATATGTAGGGCCACTTCGCATGCTTCAACACTCGGTACGGTCACTATACCGACGCTCAGTTCCGCGTCGAATTTCCGACTGCTATCATATGTGGTTGTTAGCATTATGTGTTGCGTCGCTACACGGTAAACACGTAACCCATTCAAGTTTCCGCAACACTACCACGCGCGAGTACGCAACCGATAAAGCACAATAGTTACCGGTACGTGTCGTTTACGATTGATGTTTTCGTATAATTGTTGATTTTCAGGCGTAGGAAAGTCTGCAAAGAAATATTCTTGAATGGGAAAAAAACTTTATAAATAGACACTCATACGAGGTAACTACTGAATTGCACCGAGTACAATGGTTGCCGTTTCGGTTTTGTTTCTGCAAGCTGCGGCTAAGTTTTTCTAATCATTACTTTCTGTTAATAAGAAACAAAATTAATCATAGAGCATATATTCTGACGTCATTACGTGTATGATTCCATAGCAGAAAATAATCACTTATATTTGTATTTCTTCTGTATAGTGTTTTAAGAACCTATTTGAACTTGTATTACATGGAAATAATATACGTCGTATATAGTACTATATATTATCTGTATTGAAATGATTTACTAGCCGAATTACCTCGGCTTTGCACGAAACAGTCTTGGCCGGGACATTGATTTTAATGGATTACTACCTTATATTATTTGACGCCTAGTCATGCTTGAACAGACTTAGGGTATTACTTTCGGTTATAAATTATAGTCTGTTATACTTTCAACACCCGAAACAACACGAATTGACGGTAAAAGCTATTTAAGCGCAAAATTAATCGACTCAAGCAAATCACTTAATTTCTTTAAATACCTTCCTATCGAACTGTTTCAAATTTTATGTTAATTTCCCATTTTGTCGTTTTTGAGATGTAGTAATTAGTTACAGAGTGGTTAATCTTTGCATTTTATTTATGTATATATTTGTATAGAAAATATTATACTATTAATTCACGATCTATATTTTATAAATTACATAATGAGGCGTTAATATTGCTTTCCGTCCAATGTGCATTACAAAATCATATTGTATTATAATAGCATCATTAATGTATCTTTCAAGTATTTAATGAATCACGCTTTAATTGTTCGTTTAACTGTTTATAAATGTGTTATATAAACGTTTATCAAACGTGTCTGCGCTGTCACAGAGATAAACGTCACGATTGTAATGTTAATTCTATGCTATGATTGTGATATATCTGACCTTTTTTTATGGATGAATTTATTTCGTTTATAGTACCTATTATCGCAAACCAAATATCGAAAATTGGATATAATTAACCTTTAGTATTTTAGTTGTGGCCAATTACTGTAGTATTGTTAGTTCCATTAAAACAAACGTGATGCTCCGCATCAAAGTTTACTTTGATATTATTAATTATTAATCAATCAAATCTTATTAAATACTATTATAATGGCAAAAGAGGTGCTGTGAGTTTTGTACGTGATTGTTATAACGGTCATAGAATATGATTTTTTAGAAACCGGAAGATCTTTCGGAGAAAATCGTCACGTAAACGCATTATGTATAAATACGTCTTTATTATGTAGGATATATTTCTATTACACCGGAAACGTATAGGAATAATTTATAGAACGTATTGAATGTTGATAAATATTAAAACAATATTATAACTAAAGACCGGATTTAATATATATCTATATATATTGATACCAGGTGAATCAAATATGATCAAAATTATATACGAATCGGAATAATTATATTTTTCCTATTATTAAAAAAATTGACACTCGTAAGTATCAACTAGAATTTATTTTCTATCTTTTACTTTTTATTTGATGATGATCGAAGCATTCCTTCCGGTCGAAATCGAGTACATACATACAAAAAGAAAAAATACATCATAGTAAAATCAATACATTCCTTGTTTTACTCAGAATCTAAAAATTATATACAACAACTATATGATAAGATTAAAATGTATAGTATTTAGTATATTTTATGTTTAAATACAAAAAAAATATATTAGTGTTCTACTCACTTTTTTCCGAATCTGTAATTTAATTAATTTTTTTTCCAAATAATTTATAGCTAATCACTGTACAGAAAAAATCAGTCCTCGTTCCATAAATTTTTACGAGTATGAATACACAATATAGTTCAAGCACATTTTTGCAATTGTACTTTAATCATTTTTAGTAAGAGAATTCTGCAGAGTCTCTCATATTTGAGATATAGTAAACATTTCTATTGAAAATGTTTTATTTCATATTGATATTATTTTCCTTATAATCATGTACAAATCAAGTCTACGGCATGTATTTCATTTGAGTGTAATAGATTAAGTAAAAATGTTATCTACGAAACACCAATCCAGATAAATAATTAAAGGAAAATATTTCACTTTTGTAAATAATTACTCATATATACAAATAAAATACAAAAATATTTGTATAATTTATGGATAAAAATCAATTTTCAGTTTTATTTTAATCTTAAAAATGATATTTTTTTAATGTTAAGCATAATATACTATTTATATAAAATATATATATATATAGGTAAATTAAATTAAATTAAATATCAACCATAAGTGAAAATTCAGTGACATCATTTCATATACCTAAATAAATATATTTTTATAGTTGTGTTATAAATTTAGAGAAGAGTAATGTGATTATCTCTCCTTTGTAGTAGTTTCCCACGAGATAAACATAATATAGACTCCAATATATATCATCTATATAAATCAATAAATTATTACATTTTAATGATTATTATAGCAATATTATATAACCACAAGTACAATTAGAAACACTATTTTTTTAGTATATTATACAGTCTCAAATCATAATTTTTATCGTAAGGTTATGTGATCAGTTCACCTGTAAAATAGTGGCACGAAAAATATTTTAACGTATATAGCCAATATAAGTATGTAAATTAATAAATTATTATTGATGGTAAATAATATTTAATATTAGCTCTTGCATATACTTTATATTCCGAACAAATCAATGTAAGTATATATTAGTTGGTACTAAATGTAATAATAAGCTAATTAACATATATTTTCTAACTATTAAAGTATCTTAAAAA